ACATATGATGCTATCGGCGGATCCTAGGCCATTTAATGCGAGTCCCAGCATCAAGTTGTTTCTGCTCTCTCACATTACAAAAAGTATCTATAACTAATTTGTTTATACTTTTAAAAATTTATTAAAAATTTATTATTCTTGCCTTCTTTTCATCAAATTTACCAGCATTGCTTCTGATAATCTCATCAAGCTGATCTCTGAAATCCTTTACCAACATATAATTTCTTTCTGATTAGCTCGATTTGCCCTATCTTCGGCATCGACGGCTTTGTCACATAACTGAGCTAGATGTTGTGAGGCTTCATCAATGCTGTCATAGGGATCTAATTCCAAAGGGGGATTGAACAATTTGCATTTGAGTTCATTCATCCCTTTTTTCTTGTATTATCTATTACATGGCTGAATAACTGAGCCGAGAACTTAAGGCCTTTTTTCTTCAGACGGGTTCTAAAGGGACTAGGTATTGGAAGAGACTCTTGATCTTGAAGTTTCTTCTCCCTATTGCGTTGCCTAATCTCACCTCGTCCAAAAAAACATCTATCTCTGTTTCCTTCGATTATTTGGAGCTTACAGGTGAAACTTCTGGTATCGGTTCTCTTGGTAATGAAGTATCGGAATTGAAGTTAGATGGGTTTTTGTTAGGAGTATTATTATTTTGCAACTGCTTCTGTTCAACTTTCGTGAGTCTATCTCTAAAATCAACATTCTCAGATTCTAACTCCTCAATTCTGACCTTTAGTTTGGTATTTTCAGTATCACGCCACTTACTCGTTTCCTCAGTCGATCTTAGGGTCTTGGCAATCCTGCGTTTAAGTTCAGTTCGCTTATCATCAAACTCAGAAACCTTTCTTTTAAGATCAGGTATTTCGGCATTCTTGGCCTCAAGCTCGCTAATGCACTGTTTCAATAATTCGACCTCAGGTGTATTAGCTCCGTTAACTGACATGATTAATGATTTTATACATAAAAGGAATTGTTCAATGTTCTAAAAATTTGCGGGACAGACTGTCTCGGAAAAATACCAAGAATTTTTATTAATACATGGGACGAAGCCTGCGATACATGACGATTTTTTTTCTATGCTAATGTTTATACATACGATTATTTTTTCAAAAAAGATAAGATTATCTTATTTATTTTCTGTTTTTACCCGCTTCAATGATTCCTGCGATTCTATCTGGCGATCAAATGCCACTTGATTTGCCCAAACAAATTCTTGAGTTTTTCATGCATAAGACTTTTGTCAAACACACTCTCATTAATAGAAAAAGTAAATGGTGTTCGCTAACTCAATAATACCTCAATATTCCCATTAGCATTGTCATTACAATCGCCAGTAGGGACGAACTTAATTATGATCATGTCGAAATGATAACATACAGTACATCACATCTTCACGTAAAACCTAATTGTATGTGCGTTTCTTTTTATTACGTTGAGACGAAGCTTGTAACTGAATTGCATTCTGGCCAACACCTTGATTAATATCCTCCCTTTTAGCCTCGGTAACGACAATAATCATATCTCCAATCTTGATAAACCAATCCACTGGCCCTTTACTATGGCTTCCAGATAACTCATATTCTGGACATACTTTAACTTTTCCATCATAAAAAGAAGCTACGACGTGAAGAATGGAAGAAATAAATTCGTGTTATTTGCACTAGTTACGTGAATGCAAGTCTTATGCTTCTTAGCTATATCTTCCAAAACGCGTTCCAATACCTTTTTGCAATCAGAGCCTCCGTCGAACCTAGGTAGATCAATATAACTATCAGCTGTTAACCCAAACAATGACTTGATTTTAGGAAACATCCATGATGAGAATAATGATTGTACTGTATAAACACT